GAGATGGTGAAGCGGTTTTGGACAGACGGGGAATAATATTTATCACTTCCTTTAGGAGCAGAAATATAGGCAACCCATTCCAGTCCTTTTCCTTCAGCCTGTCTGATCCAGCTAATATCAGCATTACCATCTGATATTCCTGCATATGTACAGGTCAGAGTGTGGGATTCTCCAGGTCGTTTTGTTGCTGGTTCAGATTCAGTCAGAGTCTGACCAAAACCACCTGAAAGAAAAAGGTTGTGTGATCAGAATAACCTGTGCAAAAGTCCAGTAAAAAGAAGAGTACAGAAGTTTTATATTTACCAGAAACAGTTAACAGCAGGAGAAGAAAAACACATCCTGCTAAAGTCATGATGAAACGTTGTTGCATCTGTTTGGTGGTTTGGCGTCTGATGACATAAATCAGAATTGATGAGGCTTTAATTTGCATTGGCTCCTCCCTAGAATATATGTCCAATGGGTAAAATTGAATACTTATCTATTTCCTAAAGAATAACTGATGAGATTAAAATGCAACACTTGCTATTGAGTAAATTGTGATACAAAGTTTTTCCCCTGGGTTTCCCCTCCAGGTTGTCAGATTTAAAGTGTTTCCTAGTCATGGCTTATGAAGTTTGGAAAACACTTTAAGCAATTATGTGTGTGAGAGAGATAAAGGATTATAAATGTAAATGTTAAAGAAGGTTTATCTGAAAAGACACAGATTCATTCAGAATGGATTTAGTAAAATAAGTATTATTTCATATGGCAGCCTTCTGAGAAATATCCATAAAACAACCTGTTTGCTAAAAAACTAACTCCAACTGCCCTCTAGAGATTGAAAAACAGAACTGCAAGAGTCATTGCCATCTCTAATTTGTATTACAATAAGTACATCTGCATTCAGTCTCTGTGTTTATTGAATCTTGTTTTGTGACTCAGTGATGCATTTTTGTTTATTAGAATGAATAAGAAAAATATCATGATTTATCGAGGTAATTATAAGTGATACTTGTGATCTGCTCCATTTATCTTATACAGATTTTTGAAAAGGTGCATCCTGTGTGCAAACCTGTGTGCAAATTTCTGGAAATGTTTAATCTAAATAAACTGAATAAAAGTGCAGTGATGCTGTTTTTTTAATATGAGGTTATTTCTTGCATCTCATTTTAAAGGGGAAATAAATAATTTTGGGTTAACAGTAAATTATTTTATGTTGAAAATGATAAAACTTAATTTGGAAGAATGAGTGCAAAATTATGTCCAAACATCATAGTGTCTCATATTTCTTTGTTATTCAATAGAAAGCTCATTTTCAAAGCCTGACTAACATCGCTGCCTCTCACAGAGATCTTTATCGGTTTTTGTACGGCTTTGTTGAGTTTTGTGTCACTGTGTCTCTCTAGCACAATAATAAACTGCTGAGTCTTCTGGTTTCAGACTCTTCACTGTTAGAGAAACTGTGTTTTTAGAAGTATCTTTGGTGATAGAAAATTGGCCTTGGAGATGTTGGGCAAATGCTGTGCCGGTCCCACTGTCGATGAATCCAATCCATTCTAGTGCTTTTAACGGTTTCTGACGAATCCAGTGGAGCCACATAAGAGGCATTCCCTGCACTTTACAGGACAGAATGACTGACTGTCCTGCTTTGCTGATCACAGCCTCTGAGGAGGTGAGGGACTGACCCCGCGCAGCTGAAACAAAGAATGAGTTCTGAAAACAGCAGAAACCAGATCTTTTCATTTCCTCCACTAAACAGAGTCACTCACCTGATATGAGAGCCAAGAGGAGGATACTTTGTATGACTGTCATCATGATAAGTCAGACTCTGAGTGCAAAAAACTGGTTTGATACGAATATGAAATAAAACCAGAAGGGGTGGAGACTGTAGATTTACATAACTGGATGTGTGACTGATTGAAAAATAATCAGTAGCTCTAATTACCTGGGAGGAATAAGACGTGTTTTAGTCACTACTTATAATCCGAACAATGCATTTCAATTCATAAAATTGGACATCTAAAACAAGCTGTTGCATTTTGTGTTTGTTCTTTCTGTTTCACATAATGAGATTTGTTAACTATCCTCCAAAGTTTGAAACTGCTGAAAGTTCATGTTATTCTCCTAGGAATTATATTTAATTATTACTTCTCCTTTATGTGTGTCCTTCTGCATTGGGCAACTGGGAAAACAGGGGAAAATATTTTAGCAACCTTTCAATAACTGGGGCTCTTCAGCAAAATAACAAATTATTCAAGCTCTTTTAAAATCACAATGTTGCAGATAAATTATCCCGTTTTGTCTTTTCTGAAGTTCAACAGTGCTATTACTTGATCTGAAGATGACAGATTTTTTTCAAAAAAAATGTGGAGGATAGCTATATTTACATCTAATGGCTTTCAATGCTTCTAAAGTATTTCTATTTTCTGCACCTTTGACATGGCAGTCTTTATCTTATGCAAAAATAAAAGTATTAGTAAGATCAGCCATGGCAGAACTGATACTGCCGTGGCCTATTCTGAAAATAATGAAAAACTCAAACCTTTGTTCAAATGCATTTATACAATTCAGTAAAGATGCATACGTTAAAAATAAAAACTTGGTGTTTCCTTTTTATTCAATCAACAACATGATGTCACAAAAACTGACAGCAATATGACCAAGAAAGCAAAATGTCTGACCTCACTGCCATTTCAACACAGATTATATTGAAACTTATGGCTGTACCTCAGGCAGGACTATAGTCATGGTGTGTTGAGATGTATATTTTATTGTATAACTGTTGGTCTTTATTTACTATTTACTTGGTGGTAAATTACTTGGCATGGCAGATTAGTTTTCTTCATGTAACAGTAGTAAAAAAAATCAATTTGTGAGCACAGATGCAGCAGGTAGGGTTTTTCAGATCAGAGTGAATTTCTACAGGTTTTTGTGCAGCTGCTGCAACAACTTCAGTCACTGTGCGTCTCGAGCGCAATGATAGACAGCAGAATCCTCTATCTTCAGGCTGTTCATCTGCAGATACACCTGCTGTTTGTTGTTGTCTCTGAAGATGGTGAACCGACTTTGAACTGATTGAGAGTAAAATTTACTATCACTGTCATATTCAATAGTTGCAACCCACTCAGGTCCTTTTCCAGGAGCCTGTCTGATCCAGGCCATCCAGTAGCTGCTGAATGTGAATCCAGATCCTGTGCAGGTCAGTTTGTGGGAGTTTCCAGGGTTTTTTACTACTGGTTCAGATTCAGTCAGAGTCTGACCATCAACAACTGAAAGGAGAATAAAAAAAAATTTGATGTTAGATATTTAACTTGGAAAACAAAATACAAAATACTTAGTTCAAAATCTTTCAGGAAAAAATAAAATTACCAGCAAGGCAAATAATTACTGCAAGTATCTTTCTTGTACAATCCATCGTGTGTGTTAAACGTTCTCTCCTAGATGGTACCAGCTAACAAGTTGAGGATATTTCATAATTTAAATATGCTCCTCCTCCTCAAAAGCACCACTGGTGTGACACTGAGACATCTTCCTGTAGTTTTAGTTCACCAACTCTAGGTCCACTGATAACTGATAAAATAAGGATAACAATACAGCTGTCAGCATTTCATTTGCCTCACAAGATTAGCCCAATTCTTCAATTTGTTTGTAATTCAGCTGTCTTTCATCCTGAAGGGCCGAAGGACATCAGTATATTTTATTTACAAACTTTAAAAAAGTATGATGATGAACGTTATGTGTTGAAAATAGCGATGATGGTGAACTCATAACTCTTATAATGAAGAATCAGAAATGTCTTCTCTTTTTAAAATTTGTGATCTGAGGGCCCCCAGTGGTGACTTTCTGTAACCCGTGTTCAGGTTCTAATGGGTTTTTGTTCAACTCCACAGCCAGTTTGTATCACTGTGTCTCTCTCTCCAGCACAGTAATACACAGCAGTGTCTTCAGGCTGCATGTTCTGACCATGCAGAGTGACTCTGCTATTGGAAGAGTCTATGTTGACACTAAACTTGTTTTTTAATGATTCTTTTACAGTTTTGTCTCTACTGATACATTCCAATCCTTTTCGTGCAGGCTGTCTGATCCAGTGTGTCCAATAATTACTGATGGCATAAGACACCTGACAGGTGATGGTGAGACCTTCACCAGCCTGGACAGACACAGAGGGTGGCTGGTTCAGCTGATCACATGTTACACCTGGAAAAAAAAGGACTTACTGAATAACAAATTATCAAAATCAACAGCAAATGGCAAACCAACAATACCTACATGACACAGCTACTGAAAGCAGCAGCAGCAGCATCATAGAAAAGATGGTTGGATCACTGACAGGGATCACATCTCACAACCTTTTACATCGTGTCGACATATGAGCAGGAAACCACAAAATTTACATGCAGCCCGAGAAGGAGGTGATAGTATAAATTAGTTTTTAGTTGTTTGAGACAAGCTTTTATTTAATTCTAAAACCCAAGTATGAAACTGGCTTGTTTATATATATTATAATTGTTATTAAGGATACAAGTGTGTGCATCATAACAATGCGAATCCAGCATAACACCAAAAATAAGCAATACACCTTTTTACAGGAGTATCAGGAATTGTTTAATCTTGTGAATATTTAAATTATGTCCACAGGTGCACAGAATAAAACAGGACATGTTATGTAGCAGAAATAAAAAATAAAATACAAAAAAAGTCAAATGTAAAGGCATTTCCTTGGTTGAAAGGGGGCTCTCATTTTCGACATTGCATTTATATTGTAGAGCCTACTACCCTTATAATTAATGACAATTTTCCCCTTAAATTTTACAGAAGGAGCCGGTGCGCACTTATTCCACTCACAGCTGAAACCATCCTAAAAACACTCTAGATCAAAATGTGCACAATTATTAGGGCTCCTTATGGGTTGTCATACCTAGAATTATCTGCAACCCCTCAGGATGACAGAACGTTGGAGATTTTTTCTGTTTTTCATACTTTCAAAGTAAAATAGTCTTACAGTCAAAATTAAGACTCCCTTCAGATAACTTTAAAGGCATGGAGGTTATTGCACAGCTGCTAAACCGACTTCAGTCACTGTGTCTATCGAGTGCAGTAATAAACAGCAGAATCCTCGATCTTCAGGTTGTTCATCTGCAGATACACCTGCTGTTTGTTGTTGTCTCTGGAGATGGTGAACCGACTTTGAACTGATTGAGAGTAAAATTTACTATCACTGTCATATTCAATAGTTGCAACCCACTCAGGTCCTTTTCCAGGAGCCTGTCTGATCCAGGCCATCCAGTAGCTGCTGAATGTGAATCCAGATCCTGTGCAGGTCAGTTTGTGGGAGTTTCCAGGGTTTTTTACTACTGGTTCAGATTCAGTCAGAGTCTGACCATCAACAACTGAAAGGAGAATAAAAAAAAATTTGATGTTAGATATTTAACTTGGAAAACAAAATACAAAATACTTAGTTCAAAATCTTTCAGGAAAAAATAAAATTACCAGCAAGGCAAATAATTACTGCAAGTATCTTTCTTGTACAATCCATCGTGTGTGTTAAACGTTCTCTCCTAGACGGTACCAGCTAACAAGTTGAGGATATTTCATAATTTAAATATGCTCCTCCTCCTCAAAAGCACCACTGGTGTGACACTGAGACATCTTCCTGTAGTTTTAGTTCACCAACTATAGGTCCACTGACAACCCCCCACTATCCCTCCCCCCCCCAAAAAAAAAAAACACCGAGAAAACATGATAAAATTAGGAAACTC